CTGCTCCCACTAAAACAGAAAGGACGGAGGTGGACACCTCCCACAGGAAGAGGCGTGGACACTCCCCATGAGAACAGAGGTGTTGTGGGGTGGACATTGCTCCCTGGAGGAAGAAGTGTGGGGGTGAGGTAGTGGCTTTCAGGAGGACAGAGGTGTGGGGAGTGAACACTGCACCCAGAGGAAGAAGTGTGGATGTTGGACATAGCTCCCAGGACAGAGATGTGGGGCATAGACACTACTCCCAGGAGGGCAGAGGTGTGGGGGCTTGGACATGATTCCCAGGAGGATAGAGGTTTAGGGGGTTGGCACTTCTCCAGTGAGGACTGAGGTATGGAGGATGGACGTGGCTCCCAGGACAGAGGTTTGGGGAGTGGAAACTGCTCTCACAAGGACAGGGGGTAAACATGACTCCCAGGAGGACAGAAGTTTAAGGGGTGACACTGCTCCCACAAAAGACAGAAGTTTGTTTGTCAGCACAGCTCCCGGAGGACAGAGGTGTGGGAAGTGGAAACTGCTCCCATGGGTGAACATGACTCCTAGGAGGACAGATGTTTGAGGGGTGACTTCTTCCACAAGGCACAGAGGTATGGGTGTCGACACGGCTCCCAGGAGGACAGAGGTGTGGGGATTGGACACTGCTCTCAGGAGGACAGAGGATTGGGGGGTATGGACACAGCCACTGGGAGGACAGAGGTGTGTGGGGTGGACACCCAGAAGGGCAAGGGTGCGTGCTTGGCTCTGCTGGAACGTGCTTCACGCTTCTTGGCAACTTGCCTATGGAAACAGCATTTCTTTAAATAGATCAGAACTTTAGTAGATCTTTAAAGAGCCTGTGGTATTGGGGGTGCCTTTATAGCTCTTAATTAAACTTCAGAGTAAATAAACTCCTTCCTCTGTATAACACTCTTTCTGTCTTAAAAGTTTGTGTGATTTTTGCCCTTTCCAGCCCGTCACCAGCCCTCTGTGTGGGCATGTGGACAGAGGAGGCTGTGGCCAGTCCCTGAGGCAGGTGGAGGTTCTGAGAAGGCTGCAGCCCCCTGAGTAAGGGCACAGTGGGTGAGCCCAGCAGAGGTGGGCCTGTCCACCTGTCCAGCCTCCCACCTGGCCACCGTTTCTGTAGCTCAGGTGCCTTGAGAAGGGGCAGAGGCCTACCTGATCTGTGCACACTTTGGATGTTGTCCTGACAGGTGACATTACCCTCTTCCTATATCCACCTTTATGCAAACTTAGAATTGTCTTACATGGTAGAAAAGGTTGGGATTGGCCTGAAAGTGGAATGCATAATCCTGATTCACCCTCCAGGCTTGCGTCGTAACTCCCAGTGTGCACCAGCCTTCTTGTAAAGACTGCAGATGTTCCCCTCAGACACGTGGGCGCCAGGCAGTCTTGGGTGGACCCTGAGCAGTCTGCACACGTGAGAGATTCCCTCCAGCACTGAGATGTTGGCTTTAAAGGTGGTTTGTTTCACAGAGTGACTGGTACTCCCTATGATCTTGACCAAGTGGTGAGAGGGTGGGAGCCCTCCTGACCACTGGTGGACGGTTGGCGGCCCTCCTGCCCATGGGCATACTCTGGGACGGGGGAGCACCTTGCCTCTAAGAAGCTCTCCCTCTGCTCTTCCAAAACAGATTTGTCCAGTATCTTGGCCGTCCAATATTCTTTGCAAGAACCATGATTTGAAAGCATCAGTTCTCCTTTGGTTTTCTCATTCACTTCTCAACTTTCACACACATATGAAAGCAATTGAAAATGCTATGGCTTGGCTCAGGCACACCTGAATCTGTAAACTGACATCTTGGCTCTTTAGCCCCTTCAAAGGGTCCTTGGAAGCAGGTTGCCCAGTGAAGTACATCATTTGCTTTCTACTGCTGCTACTATGGGCATTGATTATGGATCCAAGTAAAATGTTGACCACTTAAGTGTTTTCTTTCCCTTGATGTTGCCTGTTGGTCCAGATGTGAGGGGTTTTGTTTCCTTGATGTTGAGGTGTAATCCTTGTTGAAGAATGTATAGTCTTTGATCTAGTAAGTGGCTTCAAGTCCTCCTCACTTTGAGCAAGCAAGGTTTTGTCATCTGCATAGTGCAGATTGTTGGTTTTCCTCCAATCCTGATTCCACATTATTCATGTAACTCCATTTCTCAAATGATTTGCTAAGCATACATATTGAATAGGTGTAGAGAAGGATATAGCTCTGTCATAAGCCTTTCCTGATTTCAAACCATGCAGTGTTCCCTTATTCTGTTCATGCACCTACTTCTTGGTAGATATCTAGGTTTGGCATGAGCACAATTAAATTTTCTAGGATTCCCATTCTTCTCAGATCTAATTATTCTGATCCACACTGTTTAATCAGTAAATCACAGAGAATATTTTTGTTATTCTCTGCTTATAACCAGATCCAGCTGACATCAGCCATGATAGTCCTGGTGCCATAGCCTTTTCTGAATCCAGCTTGAATTTCTGGCAGTTCCCTCTTGATGTACTATCCTGACTATTTTTTTTTTTATAATCTTCAGCAAAATTTTACTTGCATATAATATTAATGATATTCTTTGATAATGTCCACAATCTGTTAGGGAGCTCCTCCATTCAACTGGCCAGGCAGCTATCCTCCATATTTATTGATAGAGATAGGTGAGTATCTGTTTCCTAAAATACGTCAGCTGATCCCATCAATTCCTGGGGCCTTGTTTTCTGCTAATGCCTTCAGTGCAACTTGAATGTCTTCTTTTACTTGGTTCTTAACTCTTGTGCTACCTCACATGGTTCCATGTTGATTCTTTGCATTTCTTCATGTAACTAAGTAAGTATTTTCCTGCTAGAATCCTTCAGCAGTGTTGTTCCAGCCTGACTTTGTCCTGAGAGGACCACTCTTAAGGTCTCTTTGGCCTTTCTTGAGCTGTCCACAGGCCTGTCTTACCTGTAGGTCCAGTGCAGTTGGCTCGTGGCTCACTGCCGGGTGCAGGCTCAGGCTTGGTGTTGGCTCTGCCATCCACTCCTGAAGGACACCCTGGTCTCCTGGCAGCCCCAGGTGTCTCCCTTCCTGCCCACTGCAGACCTTCCTCTTTAGGCCTTGCCCCTAGCCTATTGATTGACAGTGACAATGGGACCCGTCCTGTGCCCACCGGCTGTCCTAGCTACTTCTCTGCAGGGATGTGATCTTATCAGTTGCCCATCTGCTGCCCTCTCTGGGCCTCTGAGGGGTGTGATGTCCACTCACCAGCTGCCCTGGCTTAGCTCTAAGGGAGTGTAGTGCCCATCCCCTACCCACCAGCTGCCCTAACCTGGCTCTAAGGAGTCTGATGTCTGTGTGGCTCTGAGTCATCAGACATGCCTGGCACCACTTTGTGAGTGGGGCTGCACTTACTGCAGCCCTGGTTTCAAGGCAGGGTGTGAATTTGTGGGGTCTGGGGCTTCACTTTGTGCAGAGGAAGCAGAGCCCAGAAAGGACATGTCTCCCAGCTGGGGCGGCTGCGACTCGGCTGTTTCCTCTGCACAGGGGCAGTGACATTCAGCACGTCCGCGCTGGCCCCAGCCCTGCGCTCCAGGAGAGAAGGAGCTGGCGGGGCAGGAAGTGGGGCTTTGTGTTCCTGCTCAAGTGCTGTGGCCCGTGGGTGACAGACAGAGTGCAGACAGGATGCTGAAAAGCCGTGTTCCTGCACCTCATGGAAGCTCTGGTGCATAGTCACTGTGGTGGCACCCCATGTGTGGACCCGGTAGTGTGTGCCACGGCCCCAAACCTGGAAACACACACACGGCCTCGGGGGTGGTATGACCATCCACTGGGGAGTGGGACGTGGCTTCCCTTCCTGCTGCCCATGGAGTTGCACAGGCCGCTCCTCCTGAGCTCTCATCTTCTCCCATGTGGACCATCCTTGCCTCTGAGGAGTGCCCGGCTGCACTTTCTTAAGACACAGTGGTGTTGTGTACCATCAAGTCAGAACCAACCCATAACTTAACCACCCAGGGGGTTTTCAGAGTCAGCAAGTCACACAGGCGGAGATTTACCAGTCTTTCTCCATTGGAACAGCTGGTGGATTTGAACCGTGTACCTTTGTATTGATGCACAGTTCCTTACCTCGAAGCCCCCAGAGCTTAAGACATGATAAAGGGCCTCTTAAGGAAAGGCAGATGCCTGCTGCCAGCCATGCGCAAGGATCCCACACCCAAGTGCCTGGCCCAATGTGCCACGCGGGTGATGTGTGGGCCTGCAGGGGGGTCTACTGAGTCCTCACTGAGGGACCTGTGATTCCCCTCAGCACACAGGATCTGCTGTCCCCAGGCCCGCAAGGTCACACACAGCAGGCTGTGCCCACTCCCCAGGACAGGGGACTCAGAGTCGAGGTGAACTCGGGCCTGTGAGGGGAGAACACTGAGCCGACTGCCTGAGACAGGGAAACTTGGTGTTAGGGCAGGTACGCAGGTGGATGTGGAGTCCACAGCCCGTGTGAAGTCCTGTCCTAGTGACTCTGTGGATGGGCAAGCTCGTGGGTGAACAAGGGGTCAGCTGTGCCCATGTGAGGGCTTGTGTCCTTGTCAGTGGAACTAACAGTCCTTTGCCAGATCTCAGTGGTCTGTCCCACGTCCCTTGCACCTGCATGGTGGGACTGGCCTTTTGGCCCGGGGCCCAGTGTGTGGGGCAGTTTGTTGTCATTCCAAAGGGGGTACATCATGGGAGGTCCAGGCTTGGCCTGCACTGTGACCCCGTGTTTAACACTGTGACATAACAGCAGGCTGGCCTAGTGACCTCATGGCCTCACAGCAGGGTGACCACAGGACCTTATACAAGGTGACCCATGACCTCACAGCTGTATGACCTGTGACCTTACAACTCGGTGACCCTGTGACCTAACAACTGTATAACCCATGCCCTCACAACAGCAGGATGACCTATAGCCTCACAACTGTGTGACCCCTGACCTCATAGCTGGCAGGAATGTGGGGGACAGAGGAGGCACTAACAGGCCTGGGCCTCATCTGAGTCCACCTTCCTCTCTAGAACATCGACATCACCAACTTCAGCAGCAGCTGGAATGACGGGCTGGCTTTCTGCGCCCTCCTGCACACATACCTGCCAGCACACATTCCCTACCAGGAGCTCAGCGGCCAGGACAAGGTGAGCGGGCGCCTCCTGGCAGGCAGGCGGTTGGTGGTTTGTGCATCCAGCCGGCACTGAGGGAACCCCTTGGTCTTACAGAGACGGAACTTCACGCTGGCCTTCCAGGCGGCGGAGAGCGTCGGCATCAAGTCCACCCTGGTGAGCTCCTCCTGGTGGGCCTGTAGGCCCAGATTTGTCCTGGAGAACAGGGTCTCCATAATCTCCAGCCACAGTCATAGGGAAGGCGGCACAGTGGCCAGTGTTGGGGAGGGCAAGGCCCCAGAGGGCAAGCCAGCACCTCCCACAGTCCTCCTGGCCAAGGGGAGTGGCTTCTGCCCACTCTCTTCCCCTCCCTCCCTGGACTGGGTACTTGGGGGCTGGCGTGTGTCTGCCCTCAGCCTAGAGCCCCTGCACCCAGGGGTCCAGGATGTACTGAGAAAGAACACCCATGAGGACTCCACACACAGGAGCCAGTGAGGGGATCCTGGGCTTCTCAGCAGGGGGTGGGGTCCTGAGACAAGCCGGCGCCCTGGAGAGGGTGGCAGGGCTAGACTCAGTGTGCCCTTTTCTTCACAGGACATCAGCGAGATGGTACGGACGGAGCGGCCAGACTGGCAGAACGTGATGCTGTATGTGACATCCATCTACAAGTACTTCGAGACCTGAGCCCATGTGGGCCCTGCAGTCCGCACGCCCCTCCTATGCCACATGGCTGCAGCCCCCCAGCTCCATTGCATCCTTCTGGAACCACACATCCAGCGACCGCTGTGGTGTCCACCAGTGTGAGCAGTGGACTGACCGCTGCTGTGGGAGGAGGATGAGGCTTCGTGCAGGGTGGCCCCTAAGGACGAATCACAAATGACTCTGGTGTTTGCAAGCCTGAGTCCACAGGTGTCCAAACAGCATGTCGCAAGGGGTCCTGGTCCCAGGGTCCGCGCCCGCGAACTCACTACACTTTGGCAGATGGACGGCTCGGCCCATGCTGCCTTGAAGGGCCTGGACACAGCCCCAGCAAAGTGTCTAGTCAGAACTACTCGTAAAGAGCTCTAGTTAGAATCCCTCCTGCTATGCACAATATTAGGGAAGTTGTTCCTGTTCTGTTTGTACCAAAGTTAACCATGTGATAAGCAGAGGCACAGCTCAGAGCGTGGACATCGCTGACATGACCAGAACAAAGAGGGACATGAGCTAAAGCCCCAGCAGTGGAAAGTCAGTGAGGCGCTGGGCCTCCTCAGAGGCCAGAAAGTGAGAAGTGCCTTATTCTCCTGGCAGTGCATCCCCTGAGGGCTGGGCCCCAACAGGCTGTGACAGGGAGCGTCATCTGGGGCCCATGCACCTCAACATGGGACGTGTCCCCCCCTGCACTGCCCGCTGCTCCAACCCCTGCTACATCCTCAGGTCCAGAGCCACGCGTGACTGTCCTGCTGAGGTGACCCCAGACCAGGCACCACAGCCCTCAGAAGCAGTGAGCCATAGCCACAGGTGCCGGACACAGCAGCTGATGATTGAACCATGTCTCGTCCCTGTACTGCTGCTTCCCAGTTCAGCTGTGCTGGCTCCTGCAGCGTCCCAGGAAGCGTGGGCATAGAGGAAGGGGCTCGGAGGGGTGGGCAGCCAGCATGCCCCCGGCCCTCTGAGGCTTCACGTCAGCAGCTCAGGCAGCTGCCCGATTCAGCTACAGAGGGTATGCTCCCATGGATGCTGACCACTACAGACAGCAGTCCACCTACTCTGAACACTGACATCCCCCAGACACTGACACCGCCAGTGCTGACCCCCACACACAGTGGGCCCACCTGAGCACTAACTCTCCCTAAGACACTGATATCTCCAACACTGACCCCTCCAACACTGACTCCCACAGACATCAGGCTGCACAGACACAGGTTCCCACAGATACTATCATAACCTCCCCAACACTGACCCCCACACACAGTGGTGCCACCCTGAGCACTGACCCCCAACAGACACCCTGCAAGCTGACCTCCACAGACAGTGGCCCCACCCCAAGTGCTGACCTCCACACAGGCCCCACTCCAAGTACTGACACCCCCCCCCACAGACACTGACACTCCCTCCAATGCTGACCATGACAGAGACCGCACCCCACCCTGAACACTGACTCCCACAGACACCTATATCTCTACAAATAGCAACCTCTCCAGATACCAATTCCCATAAATTCTGATCTCACACTCCCTGACGATTATTCCCACGGACACTGACCCTGGCAAATTCTGACTCCAAGCCAGTGCCCCCCACAAATACTAATTCCCAGTCCAGTCCCCTCACAGACACCCATTCCTCCCAACACACCTCCCACAGACTCGAATTCCCCAGAGAAGCCCCGCCCCTGTGCCATGAAGGCTACACCCCATTCTGCAGGCCCCGGCCCCGTGCTGTGGGCCCTGCCCTATGTCAAGTGCCCAGATTGTCGGCACAGGACAGCTTCCTTTTGTCTCTCCACTAACTTCCTGGGTCCCTGCTGCCATGTCCTAGAGTAGGCTGCAGTCACAAATGGATTTATTTATTATGCTGTACTTGTGCATCGTCTGGTGAGCGGGAGGATTCCAACATTGGAACTTCATGCTGAGCCCCCTCGCCTGGTGGCCCCAGCCCACCCACTGTGTCCCGTGGGGAGGTCACTTGACGCCAGGGGTGGGCCAGCCAGGCCTCGTGCCAGGAAGAGTCCTACACGCTGCCCCTTGCAAGAGGCCTATCAGCGCTCTGGTGTCCTGCTCTGCTGTTGGGGACCACTGGTGGCTGTGGTCTGAGGTGACTTGCCCACATGGTCGGCTTTTGTAGTTTCTTCTGTTAATTATCCTTGAATGTATTAAATGATCAGAACACAGATTGAGGCTTACTCATTGTCCACTACCTAAAAAAAACTAGGATGCTATCTAGGAGGGTACCCCTGGCACTGTCCAGTGAGGGACGAGCTTGTGCCTGAACAGCTTGGGGGTCTCATCAGGGCATTCCAGGGATCCTGGGCAGGCAGTCGCCCTACCATTTACTCTCAACCTGAGCCTTGGGTGCTTCGGCAGTGACCGCTGACCAGGAGTGGCCAGCACCTCAGCCTTGGCCACACACCGCTTTCTGCAGTGAGGTGGTCAGGCATTCATAGTTTTTGCAGCTACATCTCGGAGATATTTTCAGAATATTAGCTGTCATAGAGTAGTAGGACAGCCCTAAGGATCCTTGTCATGGTCAGTATGGGGCCAGGCCACTGGTCATACAGTCACCCCAGGGACCATCAGCAGGGGCTAGTTCTCCAGGGCAGTGTTCCCAAGCTCTCCACTGTACTGGAGGTCAGCAAGCACCCCCTAGGAGTACCAGGGAATGAATTGGGATCCAGGAGCCCTCACTGCCTGGATCCTGGGCTCAGTGGGCGTGAGGGGCCGAGGAGACGTGATGCAAACAGTTCCTGTCTGGAAGGACAAGGTCACTGCAGTGTGCTCCCAGGAATGCCCTCGGGGAGCAGGCAGCTGCCTGGGCTTCCCGTTATGCCATCCAGCCAGTGTCTTGGAGCCCAGCCTGAGCACCATCTGAGAACACCCCAGCTTTAGCTAGAACACATGCTTAGAAATGCATTTTTAGAGTTCTGTGTTCTGTTCTATTTGAACTCTGCTTCACTGGCACTCTATAGGGTCTTGGTTTTCTCCCCATTGCCAGCCCCTCAGCTACTGCCTCTGCTGTGACAGGGCCTCTGGGAGGCCATCCCAGGCCTGCTCACGGCCTGCAGGGATGCCTGGGCAGATTCACAAGCCACTGTGCTAACTCCAGCCATGCATCATGGGGCCCCATTCCACACCCAGCCTGTACCTGCAGCCATACCCTCAGGAACACACCTGGCAGTTGTACACAGGCTGGGAGTCCCTGTACCTGCCATCAGCCATACCCTCAGGGAACAGGGACACACTTGGCAGGTATACAGGGCTGAGGGTCACCACTCTGCACCCAGCCTGTACCTGTAACCATCCCCTCCGAACAAGGACACACCTGTCAGGTGTACACAGGCTGAGAGGGGTCCACACTCCCAAGTTCTGACCCTCATAGGCCAGGCCTCTGCGGGGCTCCCGGCAGGCTTCCCCAGAAGGAGCCTGGACTGCCCAGTCTTCTTGGCCATGTCCCTGACGACTACAGACCCTTAGCAGAGGTCATGGCTCCCAGGGGGTTGGTGTGGCCAGTCCTCCATTCTTGCACCTACCCACACTTGGGACATGCTGTGAAGGAGTGGTCCCAAGAAAAGGTAAAGAACCCCTCCTGTCCTCCATGTAGTTTTATGGGTGTGATGTTCCCAAGTCCAGTACAGCCATGAGAGTGACCCAGGGCATTGGGAGCAAATTAGTTCAATGACCAGCAGATGCCATGGTGTGCCCAAGTCTTGGGGCAGCCCATCTTGGAGGGGCTGCTAGAGACCCAGCACTTAGCACTTCTGCTAGACATGGCCCATCCTTGGAGGCAGAGGGTTCCCGTGGGGTGGAAACGGGGTGAGGAGGGTGCCCTTTGACTGTGTGGCCATTGACCATCCACTGCAGCTCCCAAGGGATGCAGACAGGGTGAGGAAGCTGTGCTGTGGTTGTGTGGCTGTGGACCATCAATGGAGTGCAGGCAGGGGAGGGGACTGCCCTGTGACTGCATGGCTGGAAACTGGCAGGGTGAGGAAGCTGCCCTGTGGCCGTGGACCATCCAAAGTACCCAAGGGGCGCAGATGGGGTGACGAGGCGGCCCTGTAGTTATGTGTAGCAGTGGACCATCCATGGAATTACTTCCCCTGGTGGAGTTGTGCACCGGACTGAGGATAAGCCAGCCCGAGATGCCACTTCTGCAATCCCTGAGCCACAGGAAGTGTGCCAGGTTCCCCTGGGGACGTCAAGCTAGGACTTTTGAGATGCCTGCTAGTTCCCAGGGACCCCAGAGGCCTGTCATGGGCAGTTCTGGCTCATTCCCTGCCTGTGTGCCTGGCTGGCCCCCAACCCTGCTCAGTTTAAACTAGCGGGTGCACAGGTCCATCCTGGGTAGAACAAAGGGTGAGGGTGGCTGTCAGACGTGGGCAGTAGTATCCAGCTGTGGCCAGCCGCAGACAGAGGGCAGGCTCCTCACCCTCCATGGCCCAGCCCCTACCCATGGACCACACTGGCTAGGGAGGCTGAGGCTGACTGGGGCCCAGGCCTGTCAGGGCATCTCCCTCAAGAGAATTTGTAGCCAAGCCCCTCAGGCCTCCTGCTTCAGCCTGGAGGATGGTCCAGAATGGTCCCCACCTACCTGGAAGCTGAGGGTGACAAGTGGACGAGGGCAAGTGCCCTTATATAAAGGCAGCCTGATGGCTTGAGGGTTGGGGGACAGGCTCCAGGGCTAGAAACCTTCTAAATGGTCTGATCTCCACCCTTAGCCCCCCAGCTAGTGTCACTTACCATGTGTCCCATCTTCGTGGTGACTTGGTTGGTGACCTGGGGAGACAACACAGGGAAGGGAGGTGGCCTTCTTCCTCAGACAAGAGTGCCCTGTGGCCTAGGACCTTGTGAAAGAGGAACTCAGGGAGCTTATGGAGGTGGCCCCAGCTCCGGGGACAGGCACTGCCCATGGACCCTGGGGTGGACTGTAGGCCCTGACACTGGTCCTAAGAACAGCTTCAGACATGGTGCCAAGGGCCTGAGTCCATAGCA